AAAAATTTTCTGTTGATTTTTAATTTATAGTGGGTATGTGGAACAGGGAGGGAAATTGGGAGCAGTTCAAAATTGACCACCTTAAAGCATTTTTACCAGGATACATATGAATGAGTCAGTTAAGCAGCTTTTCAAATGAATAATTTTCCCATTTAAGTTAAAGATTATTTGAGCTCACTGTGAGAAAAAAGAAATGCAATGAAAAGGTGGACTGATTAACCTTTCCCAGTATGTGTATGTAATTTCTCTTGATTTTATTCTTTTCTTTATTCTTTTTCTTCCTTCAAATGCATCACTTTTTTCACTTTTAGCAGTATCTGGCCTCTTTATATTTTATAATTTCAAATCTCAGTGAAGTGTTTTACTTGTTTATCTTGTAGAAGGGCCATAGAGGGGAAACAAAACCCTTAATGTTCTTAAGTGAGAAAGAAACAGTCAAATAGATACTTGTCCTTTTTTTTTGCTGTGAATTCAGTGAGTATGCATGAATTTAATTGCTGAGCTGTTCGATCCCATTGCAGGGTCAGAGACTCGAGGAAGATTTCAGTCCTATGGAAAAATATTTTGCAAGTTGCTACAAATTTAGTAGAATGCAGTCATCAAATCACTGTAAATTAAGTAGAAAATAGATAATAAATACTCTGTACTTGATGGGAAATCATTCATATCCAGCATTTTGAAGTATTTAAAAATAGTACCATTCTTTTTCTTTAAACTGAATGCATGTGCTGAGATCTTCTTGAACATACAGATATGTCAGTGATACTTGTATAGGAAAATTCAGCAAGCAAGATTTGTCAGTTTTGTCAAAGTTTGGTCTTCCTGTTGCTGGAATTCACTTAATTATTCTTGAAATGAATCTTCCTAAAATAGATGGTTATGTTAGAGTCAAATGCAAACATGAGACCCTGAGGTTTGAGAAAATTACTTGCAGTATAAAACCATATTGTCTGGATTGCTACATAGCTTTTGTGCTCAATTTATTCATCGTGGGTAAATTTCATAGGTGAAAAAGATAGTTTGCTCGTTATTTGTTTGTTTATTTATTCTCTAAGTTTATGCTCAGCATAAACTGTGATGGCATCTACATCATATTTTCCACTGCATGTAGTAGACCTGGGCTGTATTATTTGTTCTGCTCTTGATCACAAGTTGTAAATACTCTGCAGAAGTAGCTAAAGCTTTGCTGACATACTGGCAATCTGAAAAGGGCCACCTTTGTCCAAGATGCTTAAGGTACTTGTGATTCTCCAGATGTCTTCTTACCGCGATTTTGTGCATCATGGAATCCAGAGGTCTCTGTTAGGATACCATGCCAGATGCTGAACGGATAGCTTCTAATAGGAATTTTCTTCTTCAGAACTTTATGATTTAACTATGAAATCTTCAAAACATTTCTTGACTATTTCTGAGGAAGTCTGAAGCAGTACACTTTGATTCCTCAGCTGGAATCCTTGTAAGCCAGCCAGCCTGCGGAATAGTGATGATTTCAGAAAAGGTTGTCAGCTGACTACTGAGCTTGAGCCAAGGCACGCGGGACTTTTAGCACTTGATTTCCTTTGTTTTTGCATAAAAAGAGAATACTTACATAAGTAACTGTAAATATGAAATATAGCTTGTTCTTTTTGATGTTTCTTGGGAAAGAGTTGGAATAAAGCAGCTAGTCAGAGTAATGACTTTTTATAGGCAAACTTTTTCATGCCATTTACAACTGCCTTCTGATCCTTCAAGTGTGTGACAGTAAAAGACAGTGTTCTATCAGCTAATGCTGAATGTAGAGCAGTATGGATTGATAGATGTTAAATTTACTTACTAGCTAATGATTTTGTTTTCTTGCTTTGAATTTGATGTATTTATGATCCTGGCAAGTGTGCATGTAAAAGCATAAATTAGATTTGAATGTGGAACGTGCAGATTGATATTATTAGTTTATTTTTCATCTGAATAGCTTTGGTTACTGCCTGTTAAATTCTTTAGAGAGAAAATTGGTTTTGTTTCAGTGAGTGCAGACAGTGCAAGCGTTGGAATGGTTGCCCACTGAACACAATTCTTTCCAATGGTCTAGAAAATAGCTTGAGGAATGCTTAGCATCTCATTCTTTCTTAAATGAATAACTGAGAAAAACTTGCTTTTGTTTCCTTTGGAAGAAACTAGTGAAATAAGGTAATGTGGACAGTATTATTTGGAAAAGACATTGAAGTATGAGATGAGATAGTGCTGTGTGATATAGAAATAAATATTCTGTTTCCTAAAGCTTTGCAGCCATTATTATTGGTAGCAGTAATAAATTGGTGATCATTGTGGGTAAATTTCTCATGTCTGCGGTTTTATTTGCTGATGAAGAGGAACCACAGTCTTAGAAAAAACAGTGATTGTGCACCAAATACTTCCTCTTAGAACATAATTGGAGGAAGCAGTAACTTGTAAGACACCTTTTATAATACAGAACATTGCTGTATGTCATTCCACATTGTTAATCTCCTGATGCTGTTGACAAATGCTGGATTCTGAATTCTGGGATTTACAAGCAGTGTACCAATGGAATAAGAAGTCAGAGCTATGCATGCTGCCTTTCCAGTGTCTTCAGGAGCAAGCCAGCAAGGCATGTAAAATAATGGCCTCTATTTCCTAGTGATTATTAGGGAACAATAGAGATTTGCAAGAATCTAACTTCATGTGAATGCTTTGGTCTATATCAAGGGGACATACTTAAAATAATTTCCTTCTGCTCTTGTTGAATTTTCATTGTTTTGTTTATAGAAATGATACACTTTTTATTTTAGGTATTCTGGCATTATTTATATTTCCTACTCATTTGATACTGTTAGCAAAATATATAACAAACAGAAATGTACTGGGACTAAAATAAAATAACAGTTCCTGTTTCTGTCATGGAATTAGTGCTGTTTGGGCACTGTAGATGGATTGGTTCATGTTACTGACTTTCTCTTTCTTGAGATCCCTTATTAATTTGAAGTACTGAATGTATTATTTTGAGTGTTACGTTATATTCAGTGTAGCTCTGTGGTGGCCCTAATGGGCAGCTGAACTCGAGCACAGCTGCTCTCACTCCTCTCCCAGCAGCTGTTTACTTCAAATTCTGCCAAAGAATCACAAAATTGCTGAGGTTGGAAAGGACATCAAGAGATTGAGTCCAGTCTCCTTGCAAAGCAGGTTCCCAGCAATAGGTCACACAGGCAGGTATCCAGATAGTTCTTCAATATCTGCGTATAAGGAGACTCCACAGCCTGTTCCAGTGCTCCAACATCCTTACCATAAAGAAGTTCTGCTTTCTGATCTGAGTAATTTGCAAATACTATAAGAAATATTAGAGAAACAAAAGGAAAAAACCTTCGTCCTTAATTCTCCCATTACTGAATATATTTGTATTTATTTTACACTAAGACAGGGGAGGTTTAGGTTAGATATTAGGAGGAAGTTTTTTCACCCAGAGGGTGGTGACACACTGGAACAGGTTGCCCAAGGAGGTTGTGGATGCCCAATCCGTGCAGGCATTCAAGGCCAGGCTGGATGTGGCTCTGGGCAGCCTGGTCTGGTGGTTGGCGATCCTACACATAGCAGGGGAGTTGAAACTAGATGATCATGGTGGTCCTTTTCATCCCAGGCCATTCTGTGATTCTGTGATATTACTGGGGGCTTTATTCTAGGTTCAGGGTAGAGTTACCGTTGCCAAATCCTGCTGACTTCACAGATGACACCTTATTTCTATGTCTGGAAGTAGACAGGAAGAGTCTGTGTGTAGAGAAGGATGCAAGCACTGCATCAGCGGGTTAAGTCCTAGCTGTCTTGTGTCATTTGGACAAGGGAAGTCAGGATCTAAAGGATTAGTTGGAGGGAAATGTCTATTAGTCCAGCCTAAGTTTGTGTTCTGAAACATGTGGAGAGAAACTGACACCTTTTAGATATGCTGTAGGCAAAAGTAAATGTTCAAAAAGGAACTGAAAAATAATGTACTGACATTGTATGTTTTTTTTTGTCAGTTCTTACCTTCTAGATAATTTAGGTGATTCTTCAGTCTTTGTCGAACATGCTTATTTCTTCCGTTTTAGTTTAGTGATTAATTTTTTGCTTATGTTTTTCGTCTGAAGAAAAATACTATGTGTCCTTACCATATATAATATGAATTCTAATTTTTAAAGCATATAATACTGTGTTGTTCAGGTTTGTGCCTCTTAGCCTTGGGAATTGTTGCTGAAGAGAAAGGATTGAACATCAGCAATTTGCGGTTTTCTGCTGTTTTCACTGTAGAACACTTGGAGTAACTGCTACAAAAACTCCTCTCTCATGAATGGTGCTCAGAACCAGATTTCAGACCCAAATCTGAGTCAGCTCCCTGTCTGAATTACTGTCAGTGTAAACAAAATGGGAGGGAACTGGAGCAACAGCTAGAAAGATGCTTTTGTGTTCATATTATTTTATTATTTGTAGAATATTTCTTGACTCATTTAAGAAGAAGTCAAGTCTTCTCTGCTGAGTTGGTTCAAGTGTTGGTCTGACTATAGTGAATGTAGTTGAAGAAGTGATCCAGCTGGAAGAATAATTCCTTTGACCTTGACTTTCTATCGACTACTTCCCCTCACTTCAGCTCATTCAAGGAAAATGACCTTCAGGACAGCATTACTGTCAAAGAGATAGTAATTTCTTAGATGTAGTTAATATAAAAAAAAAGGATAGTATTTTAACTATTCAGTTGTCTACAGGCAGTGTAGTCTGTGATCACTTTAACTGAGAATGAATTCAGAGAGACGCTTGTTTCTTTCTTGCAGGCTTCCCGGGGGCAGATTCGCAATGTAGTCTCTGGTTTGCTCATCAGGAAGAATTTGCTGTGCTGCTTTCCCTCTTGCTATATCTCAGGCTGAGCAAGAAGGCTTTGATAATTGTCATCCTTTTAATATTTGCTCTACTTGAGAATGGAAACAAGGAATTTCCATTCTTCTTTAAATCATGATGCTTGTCAGAGATGCTTGTCACACTGAAGATGAATACAGTTGTTTCATTTACCTTTTAAACTTTCTCCTCTTCTCTTCCTATACTTGAGGTGCTTGTATTTGCAATTACATCCCACCTAGGAAGGTACTGGGGTGATTTCTGCTTATTGCAATATAAAAACAAGTCTTTGATCTTTGGACTGTCGGACATTTTATTAAAAGATTTAACAGCTATCTGTAAGCAATGGTTTTTACAGTATTTCAGTAGGCTGATGTGTAGCTGTTTTCGTGCTGTTCTTCACTGACTAACCAGCAATGGCTACAGATAAGAATAGGAATTGGTTATTGAAAATTGTGCAGTAAAAATTTAACTGTAACCAAATTTCAGACAATTTCTGGTGTACTTCACAGCATTTTTCAATTAGGAGAGAACATTCACAAAATAGCGTTTTTTGTCCAGTTTTGAAAAGTACCATTCAGAGACAGACGTGAAATCCTTCAGTCAAAGTTCAAAGTAAGTGGTTAGAAAGCTGCTTGGTATTTTTCATTTTGTAAATTCAATCTGTTCTCAATTTCATATACTCATTTCACGTTCTGTGTTTCAGTGAACGTTGCTTTACAAGACAGTAACTTCCCAAAGTGCTTTGAAAAGCATTCACTGAACAGTATCTGGAACAGTTTTACTGTAATGACATTTTAGTCTCTGTAGTAATTCAGGTAGTTGTGAGTTCAGCTTGTATATGTCACTAACCAGTGTCTTCTTAGGTGACATTTGATGGAGTAAAGAAAAAGGTGTTTGGACTTAAGAGTATTTCAAGGCAAACAGATCTTTGGTAGAGCAACCAACCCACCAGCAATGAAGTGATGTATTTAATGTGTGGCTGTGGAGAGGAATGGAATGGATTTGCTTGTAGCAGTGGGCATGTGCTGTACCCATTACTAATCACTAATAATGCCAGAACATGCTTTTATCTGACCATCTGCCTCTTATTTTTTTTTTAAATGAACTCTGATTTTATCTCCACTTCTCTTGGCAGTATGAGAAAAGGTACTTTGTTCCTATGAAGAATTTCTTTTAGAAGTTTTCTTATTTTAATCTGCTTTCTGGAATAATCTAAATCCCAGATGCATAATCTGTGAATCTGTGTTTTATTCACTGTCTTGATAGAGGTGATCAAAAGTGGAAATAGATGCAAGTGCTTTATGTACCTAAGGGTACATACATCTAAAAACAGATCAGTTAACATCTTTTCAGAAGAAAGCTAGTTGACAAAGTTTTTTGAAAGTCAAGGCAGCTGAGTATTCTTGTTTAATCTGGTTTAATCTGCATGAGCCCACAGGCATGGCCCGCCCAGCAAAAGATATTTCATTTGAAGTCTTCTCATCGAGATGTTGTCTTAAGGTTTGCAGAACACTTAGATTGTTTTTTGTTTTCAAGTGTCCGTAGAAGCTCCAGTTATTGTTATTTGAACAGCTCTTTTAGATGCCTATCCCTGAGCTAGTGCTCTTACTTCAGTTAAGACTGAAAGTGATTAACAGTTTTGTTTACTTCCCCAGCAGCCGTGCCAGTTTATGCACCCACTCCAGAAGAATGACCTGGCAGTGAGCAAAACAAAACATTTCATTGGTTGTTTTTCAGCCACATTGCCAAAAACTTTCAGCATCACAGCGGAGGGCAAAGGACAAGTCAAAGAGAGCATAATTAAGCAATGCAGCATCAGCAATCCTGCTAACTTATGTTAGCATGACCGCCAAAATCAGTGCCAGTAGTCTGACACTGTGCTGTGTTCATTGCAGCCCTTTTGATACACCTAGCTGTGGTGAAGAGAAGTTGTTTTTCTAGTGGTTAAAAGAGATCACAAGAGAACATGTGGAAGGTTTCCAGCGATGGGGCTACAACTACAGCCTCCCCTAGAATTGTAGATTAAAAAAAGGGTGATTCTGTTTCTTTGGATACCTGATCTTCAGTAAAATGCTGCCTTTTAAATACAGAGCATGCTACACCTTTCTCTCACTCTAAGCTGGCTCTCACACTGTGTTGGCAAGTTAAACGAGAGCTTTCTAAATTGACTTCTGCTATTAGTCACACTCCCATTTGAGCAGAAATAAACAAAGAACGGAACTGTTTTTAGCCCTTTTGCTCTAAGTGTCTTGTCACAGTAAGTGCTATCCTATTTCCTGCATGTCTCTCATAATCCTGCATCCTGTTCCCAAACTTAGTTTAAACTTTCACCACAGACTATTGGCAGAACCTTCTAAATCATAATTGTTCAGCATATAAAGCTTAAATAACTTCTGAGCAGCTTTGAGGCTTGAATAACCTTAGCTATCAATAAACCTTTCTAAGTATGCAGTTGTATTTCATTGTGTAAAATCAATTTAAACTAGCTATAAACTTATATATTTTTTTTCTTATGGGTTGTTTATCATTATACCTCTTTTTAAGGAAAACCATAATCTTCTCCTGTGGTTGGAGGGAGTTGGCTTTAGCAGCTACATTGTACTTCTCTAATCAGCTCGTGAAATTTCTCTTGGGTACAGGAGTGTATTGTATGCAGACCGAAGCAGTACAGTCAATAGCATGGACATAATAAAATATTTTCCATGGATTCAGCACAAACAAAAGTTCCTTTATCTCTGAATTGTTCAAATCTGTAGCTAGCCTACTTTTCCTCTGAAAATACATTATATGTTCTTACACGTGCTTTTTGTTTCCTGAGAGAATATGTGCTTACCAGCTGGGAGTTAAGGGTTCCTGGGCATAGGACCATTACAAACACTGTGGCTAACTTTGGCTTTGTGCCTGGACATGTTCATTCATGAATCCTTGTTAAAACAAAATACAACTTCCAATTGCATTCGAATCTGAGAGTAATGAGTTTCCTCAACCTATTTTTTTTTTTTTTTGACAATGATTTTAGAGGTTCATTGGTGTTGATTAGGTCAGGAAGCAGGCACAGCAAAAGGCAAAGCATTCAACCACCAGGCTGACTGTCTCAGCATTTTATTTTGCAGCAGCTGTGCTGTATAACACGAAGTGATTCCCAGATAGTGAAGGTTAGGAGCTATTGACCCCACTTTTGCAGTTACTTGAATTGACTCCTTTACCCACAGTGACCCACAGCATCTGAGAAGGTGGAAATTCTTTTTCATACACAGGGGTAGCACAGATTGATCAGATCATGGTTGCAGTGACAGCGCAATTCCATGTAGCTGCTGTATCAATTCTCAGCCTCTGGAAGCAACAGTCAGGTGTTAAATGATGCCTAATGAACTGCTGCCTACTTACAGGGATGGGTGCCCCCACCCCTGGAGGTGTTCCAGGCTGGGTTGTTTGGGGCTCTCTGCAGCCTGATCTGGAGGTTGGCAACCCTGCCCTCAACAGGGGGCTTGGAGCTTAATAACCTTTAATGTTCCTTCTAACTATTCTGTGAAGCTATTCTGTGATTCTGTTACTCTTCTTCCTTAGTCCCAGTGCCCACCACTTATCCACTGATGCAATGTTTTTTAGTGTGATCTGAAAATACCAAGTGTCTGAATGTTTTTTTGCTGCCCTAGGGATGACACAACACATCTCTAGTTGCCAAAAAGAAGTGTTATTCAAGGAGAGTGTTGGAGGGACGAGCAGTGTATCAATGGTGAGATATTCCTATGGCAATACAGGAGACCTGGGTGGCTAAAGTCATCAGTATGATTTGCTGCTTTCACTTTTAAAGCATCCCAGATTTTGTCTGGTTGGATTTCTTTTCTTTTTTTTTTTTTTTTTTTTTGGCAGGGTCAGTTGAATTTTACTCCACATTTCTTTACCTAAACTTTTTTCTCTCCCTGTGTTTGGGGAATGATCTTGTAATAAACATAAATTTCACATAAAGCACTTTGAATATTCAAAGTATCTCTAAAGTTAGAACCCTCTTCTAATATCTGAGCTCTGTAATATCTGTAGATTGGCAAGTATTTATAAAGTATATATGTATATATTCAGGTTCACTCATTTTATGTTTTGAGCAACAGTAGTGATAACTTTCTATAACATCCTGGTGAGGCTTCCAGTAAGGGGGACCTGCTACTCAGAAATTAATTTCATGGCCCTACAAGGAGAGGTTTTTTTTCAAGGTACCTGTTTCCAAAATGACAATACAGGAATAAAACTTACTGTGATAATGGCCTGTCATCCTGACCTCAGTGCCAGAGAAAGTTGTAGAACAGAATCATCTTCATTGAGATCACACAGCGTGTAGAACAGGCCCAATAATCACAGAATCCCAAAAGGCAGGTCCTGATCCAACCTGGTCTCCTGCTATAATGGAGTGAACTGCCTGGTGGTGGATGAGGGAAAGGCTGTTGACGTAGTTTGCCCAGATTTCAGCAAAACCTTTGTCTCCCACAGTATTCTTCTGGAGAAGCTGGCAGCCCATGGCTTGGACAGATATACTCTTTGCTGGACAAAGTATTGACTGGAGGGCTCGGCCCAGAGAGCAGTGATGGAGTTAAATTCATCTGGTGACCTGTTGTGAATGGTGTTTCCCAAGGGGCGGTGCTGGGACCTGTTCTACTTAGTGTCTTTATTGAGGACCTGGATGAGGGGATTGAAAACCCTCCGTTTTCCGATGACACCAAGTTGGGAGGAGACATCAATCTGCCTGAGGATAGGAGGCTGGATCACTGAGCTGAGGCCAATCGGATGAAGTTCAACAAGACCAAGTGCCAGGTCCTGCATTTCGGCCACAAAAATCCCACACAGCACTACAGGCTTGGGGCAGAGTGGCTGGAAGACTGTGTGGAAGAAATGGACCTGGGAGAGTTGGTTGACACTTAACTGAACATGAGCCAGCAGTGTGCCCAGGTGGCCAAGAAGGCCAAGGGCATCCTGGCTTGTATCAGGAATGGTGTGGTGAGCAGGAATAGGGAAGTAATTCCGCCCCAGTACTTGGCACTGGTGAGGCTGTGCCTCGGGTGCTTTCAGTTTTAGGCCTCCTACTACAAGAAAGAGCGTGTCCAGAGAAGGACGCCTAAGCTGCTGAGGGGTCCGGAGCACAAGTCTTATAGCGAGCAGCTGAGAGAAGTGAGATCATTTAGTCTGGAGAAGAGGAGGCTCAGGGGAGACCTCGTAGCTTGCTACATAGCTACCTGAAAGGAAGTTGTGACAAAGTGAATGTTGGCCTCTTCTCCCACGTAACTGGTGATAAGACTAGAGGAAATGACTTCAAGTTACGCCAGGGGAGATTCAGGTTGGACATTAGGAAATACTTCTCTGATAGAGTGGTTAGGTGCTGAAACAGGCCGCCCAGGAAGGTGGTGGAGTCACCGTTCTGGAGGTATTCAAGAAATGTTTAGATGTACCAACGGACATGGTTTAGTGGGGAAATACTGGTAGGTGGACACTTAGATTAGACGATTTTGGGTCTTCCAAATTATTCTGTGATTCTGTAACTATCACAAAAAGGAGCAAAGTCTCCACATCATTATCTTTTTTTTTTTTTTTTTTTTTCCTAAAATAACTGAGAGCTACTGTTACTATGATCCTTAACACGTAACAAAAGTTAGTTGAAGAAACAGAAGTTTCTCCAACTGTGTCGCAATTTTAAGTCTTGTATAGCATCCTAAAAATAATGGAAGCGATTATGGGATGATCAATTCCAGGAATATGGTTTCTTTTCAAAGTAGCACCTAAATATACTGTGATAACACAATTGGACTATCTGCTGCACTTAACAAGGTTCATTTTCCAAATGATCTTTAAAACTTCTTAGGTTAGCACCTAGAAGTCTAATGCTGTTTTCTCTATTGAGCATTAATGAAGCCACAGCAAGAGTGATAAGTCCAGTTCTGGGCCCTGCAGGTAACGGGGAGCCCTTGATATACTGGAGTGAGTCCTGCAAAAGGCCAAGGGATGAGGAGACTGAAGCATTTCTCCCATGAGGGGAAGCTGAGAGCTGGGACTGCTCACCCTGGAAAAGGGGAGGCTTAAGGGGATTTCATCAGTGTTCATAAATGCCTGAAATGAGGCTGAAAAGAGGACAGAACCAGGCTCTTGTCAGTGGTGCCCAGTGTTAGGATAAGAGGCAACAGGCACAAACTGAAATGCAGTAGGTTCCTTCTGAACACCAGGAAGCATTTCCGTGCTGTGCAAGTTACAGAGCATGGGCACAGGCTCCCATGCAGAGGGACTGCAGAGATCTTCATTGGTATTTAAAGGCTAAAAACAGGTTTCTAATTTTGACTCAGGTTCACTGCAAACTGATAAAGATTTATATATATATATATGTATACATAATTCTAAATTAAACATGATTTCTGTAAACACTGACCATTTGAATTGTTCAGAGTACTGGGGATGACTGAGCTTATGTATAAATAATGTGTGCATAATTTGCTTGCTTCTGTTTGTGTATTTATTCTCATACCTAAGGATTTTAGAAACTCTTGAGTTTAAAAGCAGTGAGCCAAGGATCTGATACAACACTTCTCAGATTGTCTCTTTTACATTTTTCTGCATTAATTCATGAAAAGAGGGAATTTTACCTTCTCCTTTTGCACTTGATGAGTAGAACTTGTTTTCCTTTGTGTGGAATATATGTGCATTGCTTACATCAATCTGGCTAAAAAGAAGCAACCATCTGACAGGAAGAAATTGGGAAAGAATTTGCACTGAATGTCAGGAAAACTTCCTCAGGATGAACTATATTGTGAAATGATCTGCCAAGGAAAACAGAAGTGTTTAAGGCACAAAATGAGACTGAGCCCAGTGTGAAAGGTAATATAGGAGGAAGAGTAAGTACTTACTATTGTTGACTTAATCGGTGACCGCAGACCCTTCTTAGCCTGAGCCACAGTTAATCAGATTGTCATGAAATATTGTTTAGTAAATTATTTCAAAGATGTCTGTAATGATAATGAGCTGAGAATACCAGATGCTTTTCACAAAGACATAGTCTCTGTTTATTTAAGGGAGTGGAATTATCAGGAAGAGGAGAGAGTCAGAAGTAGGACATTCTCTAATGAATATCTGCTTTCTGAGCTGTATTTAAGAGTTATTAGCCATGACATTTTGTGTGAGGCTATAAGAAGATAGCTTTTATTATTCTCAGGAGCCTAAATTTTGTGGAGAGTTTTGTAGCTGGCCAATTTTCCTGTTTCTTTATAGAAAACAAGGAAGCTCATAAGTCAAATATACTTGTTTCTAGCAATTTGGAAAATTTAAAATAAAAACTTAGCTCTAATAATCATATTTCTGCCAACATCTCTCGGCTTCCTTCTTGGGACATCTATTTATTTATTTCCGTCTCTGACTGTCTCTCTATTAAATGTTCATCTAGGGGTTTTTCTTTGTGTTGTTGTTTTTTTTTTGTTGTTGTTGTTTCTTTCAGTTAAAAATTTGGGATGTTTCTGTTTTGGTCTGGTAAGAATTTGCTGATGACATTCAGGTTCTCAAGCTCCTGATCTCTTTTAGAAGACTGTTGCTGAAGTGCAGTCTTCTTGTCCCATCTGCCTTAATTTCTTCATGTTCTCTTTCCAAAGAAGGCACTCGCTTTCTGTTTATTGAGGAAAGCATATGACAAGTTAGCTTCAGGATTTCTGACAAATGACACTTTTTAAAAATAAATGCTGTGGTGAGTCTGACAGCTCAGTATCCCTTAAGGGATAATGGGCAGTAATTAAAAAACATTGTTTTTACTGTTCATAGTAAGTCAGAAGATTCTTGCTTTGGATAGAGAAGTGTTTATTTGTTCTTTTATTGATTTCCAGCTTTCCCTTCAAATAGCAATGGACCTCACAAGGAGTCTGGCTAGTGTGCATTTGCTGAACTCTGGAGAAGCTTTGTTGACATCTGCTCAGCGAGAAAAACAGGCTTGGCCACAGCATTTACAGATCAGGACTTGGAAAAGCAGAGAGACAAAATCATAACCATGCAGAGCTTATTTGGGGTGAAATATACCTCGCTGTAACAGCCAGCATAAAAGTGCCTGGCAAGGTCTGAAGTGAGAACCTTGTAAAGTAAATCCTGTTGCTTATTTACAAAGATTTGTCTTAATCATCTAATACATGAAACCGTTAAGAATTTGAATTTAAATAAAGTGGTAATAATAATAAAAATAGCAAACAAAGAAAGAAAGCCCACCGCAACTCCTTTGCTAAGACAGGCATTCCTATATTTCCTAAATTAGAAATTTCTCCTCTGGTGCAAGAAGATCTGTGGGCTTTTGGTTTTGGTTTTGGTTTTTATTCATGTGGAAAAAGTACTTTTCTTAGATTCATTTAAGAGGTGAAGGATATTTTTAACACACTAAAACAGCTGCACTTACCAGTGTTCTCAGTAGAATCATTTACTATTAAAAATATTGTGAAACATAGGTATATTTGAATTACAAGTCTATTTTTCTTATTTAGTTCAGTGCTCCATTTCCCCCACTGCAGTATGCATTGTAAACACTCCTGCTGAGGATTTTTTTGTTTGTTTTGAATTCCATAAAGGGAAGAAAAAACAGATTTTTTTTCTTTCCTTTGGTTTTCTGAGATGACATTCTCAAGTTTTCTTTTGCTTTCTTTATGGTTTGAACTCTCGGCCTAGTCAAGAGATTTTGACTGTTTGCATTAGAGGTAGTGATAAAAAGATAAATACCCAAACTTGTAAGTACACAGTGGAGCTCTTTTTCCTTCTTTGTGGTTGTGCTTGTAATTATTTTATCTTCTACGAATTTCACTGGGACAAGCCATAGAGTAAGCCATAAAAAGAAATGGCATCTCTCAACAGATGCTTAGCCACCTACCCTGACTGTATCCTTTGCTGATTTATTTCTGGCTACTTAATATTTTCAGGAGGATGAAAGCAAGCTGAGCTCTGTTTGTTTGTTTCTTTTTCTTTGACACCAGGCAGTGTTCAGTTTGTTGAGGGACAGAAATTTATGATTCTGTTGGAAAACAAAAAGCCAATAGGAGAAAATGCTTCAGACATCTTTGTAATTTTTTCACAGATAAAAGCATTCTTCATCAACTTATACATTGACCTCACTTATGTAGAAGATTAGAAGTAATTGTGCAGATAGAAATAAGAAGGAAGATGAAGACTGGGAATAGATCAGAAGCTTCCTTGGCAGGGAGGTGGGCAAAGCTTCTTGCATAAGTGAGGGCAGTGACAAACACACTGAGCAATTCAGTAAGCATTCAGTAAGCAAGAGTTTACTGAATGAAGAAGAGGAATATAGGACACACACAGAACAGAAATTCTTTAAATATGTCTTTGTGCAATGAAGGAGTAATGTGGAATAAACTTTCTTGGTTAATTGAAAGGTATTTTTAGGAAGAAAATCAATAAAACATCCTGAAAAATTACAGGAACTAAGTATGCAGTTCTACTGATCCATAACTTCCTTTAGATAGATAGAACATGCTTCTCTTTTCCAGATTCAGTCAGTGTCAGTTGTCAAATGATGTTACAAAGGTAATAGTCATCAAAATGTCAGCAGGGAGATTTCTGAGCAACCCTGAATTACTCCCAGATCTTTTCCTGGCCATAACCGCTAGGCTCAAGACACAACAATACCTTAACAATACGATTTTACACAAAAGCTAACAGGGAGCAGATAAAATAAGAGTTGAATGAATACTTACTGCAGAATTCCTTCCCAGGGCATGTCCCATCTGAGCTGAACACGTGAAGATAACCAATGTGGGTATGCTGTGGTAGAAGAAGCTGATATCCTAAGCTTTCAGATCAGTGTCTGGAGGTGCATCTTTGTTGCTGTTCCTGAAGCAGGAGCACAGCAGACCCAGGGATGGTCAGGCTCTGGGGCTGGCTTGCGTACCCTGCTGGCAATCAGCAAACTGCCAGTAGTTGGGTACCCTTTGGCAATGTGAAGTTCAAGTAGCACGTCCATCCTCCAAGCTTTTCTTGCTAATGAGGGCCTTTATTCAAGTCGGTTTCTTGGCAAGGCATACTGTGAGAGGGATGAAGTCAAGTTTGTTAAAAGTTACTGTGGAAGAGTAGTAACAGTATTGTTAAAACCAGTGTCTGGGCAATTCCCTCAGTGCCTGTCTTTGCATCCTAATTTCCTCTTGAAGCCTAATTAACAGCATGCCACTATTTACATCACAGAATCACAGAATCACAGAATCACCCGGGTTGGAAGGGACCTCAAGGATCATGTAGTTCCAACCCCCCTGCCTAGCAGGGCCACCAAACGTACACATTCAGATCAGGTTGCCCAGGACCCCGTCCAACCTGGCCTTGAACACGTCCAAGGACGGGGCATCCACAACCTCCCTGGGCAGCCCGTTCCAGGGCCTAACCACTCTCCTTGTAAAGAACTTCCCCCTAACATCCAACCTAAATCTTTCCTCCTTCAACTTTGATCCATTTCCCCTAGTCCTGCTGTTGTCAGCCCTTTTGAAGAGTTTACTCCCCTCCTGGGTGTAGGTTCCCTTCAGGTATTGATAGGCTGCAATGAGGTCACCCCGCAGCCTTCTCTTCTCCAGGCTGAACAAGCCCAACTCCCTCAGCCTGTCCTCATAGGGGAGGTGCTCCAGCCCCCTGATCATCTTAGTCGCCCTCCTCTGGACCCTTTCCATCCTTATTTGATATCTGCAATACATGGGATAGTATCTGCCATTTGACTTGACACACGAGAAGAGCTTTGTATTTTACTGTTTATATTCATGTTACAAAGAGAGAAGGGGAGAAATAGAAGAAAAGAGGATGTAGGGAACAAGCTGAATTTTGAAATAAATAATTTTCATATTGCATTCATTTCTGCATTTTTTTTCCCCATTCACTTCAACTGTGTTATAAAGTGTAACTTCTCTGAATTTATTTAGGCTCCTTTTGTACACAGATGTTTCTTCTGGAGTATGCTTCAGCAAGCACAGGATTCCTTTGCTGGTGTGTGCCTGTGAGAGAGGAGTTATGAGCTCACTTTGCAAATGTTTTAAAGTCTAAGATCTGATTTCCTTCAGTTTAGCGCGTGTAACTGTGACATGTAAACATGTGTTTATTAATCATCAGAAAACTCATCGTGTCCTTCAATAATTCAGTTTGATTTTTCATCTTATTACCAAACTCTAATACTCACTTTCTTAAGACCATTATATACTGCTATGCTATCTCAGTTTTATTTTACAGACATCTTATCAAATGCTGTTTTCTGTCAAGCAGCCCTTTGTTTTCGGTACCACTGGGCTGTAGGCAGAATGAGATCATGTTTTTCTTTATCCTTTCTAAGAAATATTTTTCATCTGTCTATTTCCCTGTTTACCTTGTAAAATTTAGTTTGTTGTGTTTCTTGAAGGTTATTTTCATTCACATTTGTATTAGTTGTAGTTAGTAGTGGCTGAAAGCATACATTTTGTTATATAATCTTATTTTAAAACATGTTCTAAATGTGAATTTGTGGTATAGTATAATTTTTAAAAGAGCAAATATATTTCAAAATCTGTAGTGAATTGTTAAAGATTCTTTTAAACATTAGAACCATGTGCTTTTCATATCATAATTTGAGTTCATAAGGTATTATTGAAACTGTTGGTAGCAAGAAGATATGATTTTACCTTCTTTGGCTCAAAGTTTGAGCTATTTAACCTGTCTCTTCACTTTTACTGTCTGAAAAGAAAATTAATATTCTTCTGAGAGCGACAATAAAATATTTGCAGAAATTTGTATATGTACATTTTTATTTATAAAGATACATGTGTAACAAATATGACTGCTTTCAGTAATTCATTTTCTTCAGGCATTGTTTTGTGCATCTTGAAGACATAAAATAGAATTAATGTAAGCATTTGTAGGAATTTCATTTCAGCAATTTAGAGCACTTGTGAAAGACGTCGATGGAATGCCCCTCAGAGAACAAGTCTATTTTCTGCCTGCAGATGACATTATATGATGTAAATAAATTTTAGGACTGCCAGTAAAATGTACAAGACATCTCATTGCCACTGCAATGTTACCAAAAGCAGCATTCTTGCTGGGTACATGGCAGGTTTGTAGCCCCTGACTTACTGCTTGTTGGGGTGGTGGATAATGTGCATCTGCTGCTCAGCCCCCGCTCAGCAGGACAGCCTGAGCCTCGGCTATCAATCTGTCCTCAGCCTCTCATGCAGTTTGTCAAAGACTGATGCCTGCAGTAGAAACTGATTACAAAAAATTCTATTTCTGGCCCACATAAAAACAGTAGTAATTGAGCAGGTTCTTCTTGGTGATGTTTAAAAGTTGTGCTTCAAGTGTTAGTCGTGTGTCAATACTACAGTCGTGTGTTTATGACCAAACGAGATTGGTATACAGGCATTAAAACTTAATTACTGTAAAATAACAATAATTCTGGGACTTTAAGTATCATGAGATTTTCTCTTCAAATATTTATAAGGTAACAAAGATGTTTAAGCATACTACAAATTTGCAAATGTGGAATTTGAAACAGATGGAACAAGTATTTAGCTTTTCCCTCCAGAGGCATCATGGGCAACAAATGCATTGAGTGAACAACATGGTTAGAAGCATTAGGAAATAGCATTAGGAAGAAATATTAAATGAACACCAAGCATTCTTTATCTTAGATAAGCCAAAGCACCATTTTTCAGTCTTAAAAAAAAACATGTAATATATGGAAATTTTGCAGCCAGCTTCAGTCTCTTTTGCCTACAGTGATAAATTCAGAGAGAACTGTCAAGATGCATGTTTTTGGCATAACTGTATGGTACAGTTGTTCTCATCTAAGATGTGCCTTTTCCTGTGTGTCCTATCATTCAC